CTTCAAGCCTTTAAGACCCCAGACGCTGTATCTTTTGATAGCTGGGCACCATCAGCTTTCTTCACCACCTTTGCTTATGCACTCACTTTGCCTTCAGTGATCGTGTTGGGAAAGTGAGCATCATGGACACATCTTTATTATTAATGGATGTTTGAAGCTGTTTCTTCTCACTTTAAGTGATCCCATCAGCAAATGGAAGGTCCCGAGAGCTTTCCTCTCTGGAATGAAGGCCGAGACTACTCTGAGGAGGTAGCTAGTCCCTCGTTGTATTGTAAGTGCCCTCCAACCTCAGAGGCACACCTTCCTACACTATGAAACAGTGTTCTGCTACTCATAAAGTTTTCACTACTTCCTTCCCTTTTTTTCAGTAGATAGCCAGGACTTACTTCCTAACTCATCTTAGTCTAAAAGCTCCATTGAAACTCATCTAGCATGGATGAACCTGCTGGTATTTCAAATACCACTAGCATAGCTTCCAGCCTCACAGCAACAAGCAAGCCACCACAGTACAACAAACTGACAGATGAATGGTGGAATCCTTGATTAGACCTTTTTCCTTTGACAATAAGATAAGGTATCGAAACTCACCAGTAACTGACAGTGATTAACATAATTCACTTTTAGTATAGTATAATCAGTATAGTATAGTATAGTATAATCAGTCCCCAATTGCCTCATAGTATAATCAGTATAGTATAATATAATTTTATTTTTATTTTTTATTTTTTTTAAACATTTTATTAGGGGCTCATACAACTGTTATCGCAATCCATACACACATCAATTGTGTAAAGCGCATTTGTACATCATTCTCAAAACATTTTCTCTCCACTTAAACCCCCGACACTAGGTCCTCATTTTTCCCCTCCCTCCCTAGTATAATTTTAGTATAGTATAATCAGTCCCCAATTGCCTCATGTAACCCAAAACCCCAATCTCCTTATTAGTACTGGTGGCTCATATAGTATTTTAGAGCCTACCAAAATGCACATGTCGGTCAGGGAAATTGTATGTACCTATGAATGTCCATTAAGCAGGTATAAAATAGAAAAAGCTAGGCCCCATCAATGAGCAGCCTTAAGGTCACAATGGTAAGCATAAAAGAGTAATGCTTAATCCTCACTTTCTTTGTGAGAGGCTGGGGTGTCAGACTGCTTTGGGCTCTCCTGCATTGATATCATCTGTCTGCAGTTGTGTTCAATGGATTGTTAAGGAAAGGATTACCGCTGTTTACAACGGGTAGATCTGAGAGCATGTATGGGCAGATCTGTATTAATGAGAATGTGGGTATGTTTATGTGGAAGCAAGTGATAAGATATGGTTAAGACTGTTCTCACTTGCTATAAACAGTTGCCACTTCTGAACATAAAATGTAAGCGATTGGAATGGCTTCATTTCCAGATTGAAGACTATGACGTGATAGCTAGCATGATAGGAGCCAAGTGTAAAAAGCTCCGGACCCTGGATCTGTGGCGATGCAAGAATATCACCGAGAATGGGATCGCCGAGCTGGCTTCCGGCTGTCACCTTCTGGAGGAGCTGGACCTCGGCTGGTGCTCCACTCTGCAGAGCAGCACCGGGTGCTTCGCCAGACTGGCACACCAGCTGCCCAACTTGCGGAAACTCTTCCTCACAGCCAACAGGTCTGTGTGTGACACAGACATTGAAGAGCTGGCAGGAAATTGTACCAGATTACAGCAACTGGACATATTAGGTAAGGTACGATGTATGAACCACTTTCCTTGATATAAATTATGATTCCAGACTTTTTGCGAGGAAAGGAAAACAAAAATTCTTGGGTACAATAAAAATGTTCTCTGTGTACGACAGTTTGGTTCGATAGGAAATGCAAGGTAGAGCAGTTGGTAGAAAATTTACCTATGAGCATAAGTAAAATAGAACTTGAAATCCTGCCATCACCAATTTTCCGTGCTGACTGCAATCTCAGCCCGTGGAAATGCCCTAACTTGTTCACAGCCTGAGGACAGTAGCCTATGAGAAAGCTCCAGCTTACTCTTTTGGTGTGGTGAGGCCAGTGAGAATTTACATGAGGAGTGGTCCCCACTTTTATGAAGGACAAAAAAAGATGAAATTGATTCATTTAGTGAGTTCAAGTAAGGTAAGTAAAGCTTCTTGATGATAAACTCTTGATTAAGTAATCCTATGCAGATTCCTTGCCGATAGTCCTAGTCTTTGGAATATATCCCAACGCAGATCTGTTGAAAACCTTGTGGTTCTGGGATTGCAGTTCTGTGTCCTTTCTGTCGCCATCATCAGCAAGGGAGCCTGTGGGATGGGGTTGCGGATGAGGGAGCAGTGACATGGGCATCGCTGTGCACACCACTGTCCTCTCGGTGAGCAGCAGCATGGCTGCATAGAACTTTGTACCAGGGAGCTTTTCACCAGAACTGCCAGCACCAGTCCTGAAACTCCTCAGGCTTTTCCTTTTGCCAAGTGTTCAAAAATGGAGAAGGATATACAAGTACTCCATAGACTAGCTATTTGCACTTCAGGGAATCTGTGGAAACCTATTTTACAATGGTCCTTCCAATGGAAAAGAAGAAAGAAACGGCATCATACACTAGTTTTGACAAGTAGCCCATATCTGAAAGATTCTATAGCGCCTCAAGGATTTCCTTAGCACTGATCCTCAAACAAGTGCCTGGCGGGTCAGTTGTCAAGTGACCTGACTTTAAACGAGTAAGTTACTTGACAGAAGTATACAAGAAAAATAGATCATAAGTGTAACCACAGTAAAATATGTATTTTGATTGTTGTGGTTGTTGAGAATGAACAACAGAGAAGATTCCGGTTGCGGTTTGAGCATGGACAGGTCAGTGTCCCAGCTGCGCATACATTCTCCCATTGCATTCTCCCAGCTGCGCATACATTCACACTCTTCCTTTTGGAGTTGTGCCTCCCTCTTGAACATGACCTCACCGCCTCTTCACGTTGTTTATTTAATTTACTCATTTCATTGGGGCTCCTACAGCTCTTATCACAATCCATACATACATCCATTTTGTCAAGCACATTTGTACATGTGTTGCCATCATCATTTTCAAAACATTTTCTTTCTCCTTGAGCCCTTGGTATCAGCTCCTCGTTTTTTTCCCCCCTCCCCAACCCTTCGTCCCTCGTGAACCCTTGATAATTAATTTTTTTTCATGTCTTACACCGACCACTGTCTCCCTTGCCTCTTAAGGTTTCTGTCTAATCTTTTGAGTTGCTGCTGTCGGTTGAATAGCATACAGATAGTACTTAAAGGAGTATAATGGCAAACATTCTTTACTAGTAAATTATTGTTTGGTGTTAAAAAATCAGAGGACATTGTTGGTTTAAGGTTTCTAACATCTCATGCGAATTTGAGATTCTGTTTGCATTTCCCTCTTAGATTAGAATTCTTCTATAGAATTTTGGATCCAAGTGTTCTGTAATGGTAGACCATCCAGTTCTTCTGGTCTCCTGATGGAGAAGGCAGTTGTTCCTGTAGGCAGTTAACCACACAGTCAATATCCTCCTCGTATTCTTGACTCTCCTTACTCTCATTCAAAGCAAATAGAGGCCAGTTGTGCCTTGGACGACAATTTGGAAGCTTTTAAGACCAGATACTAGGTACCAAAGTAGGATGTAGAACAGAAGCATCAAACACATTATTAAACAAGTAAGTAGTTATCATGAAACCATGACCCCAAACCTCCAAACCAAGGAGCCAAGTCTTACGAGGTATTTGGTTGCACATAGGTAGCTCCAGCCACCACTGTTTTGTTGTTGTTGTTTTCTTTTTTGTTTGTTTGTTTGTTTGTTTTCTTGTAAGTATATTTATCACCCAACTTATTTTTGTTGTTGTTGCAGTTTTGAAGAATTCTGTGGGTGAATGTTTTTCTAAATCATTTTATTGGGGGCTCTTACAAATATTATAAAAATCCATAAATCAATTATATCAAGCAACTTTGTACATATGTTGCCATCACCATTTCAAAACAGTGTCTTTCTACTTTAGCCCTTTGATGTCAGCTGCTCTTGAGCCCTTAATAAATTATATATATATTTATACCATCTGTTGTATCCCTTCACCCATATTTCTGTTATTCATCCCCCTTGGTGGGGGGAAGGTTATACACTTATCCTTGCTATCAGTTCCCCTTTTCTCCCCTCCCCCCACCCTCCCCAGACCCTTGTGGTATCACTACTCCCATTACTGTGTATGAGGGGTTTTCTGTCCTGGATTCACGTATGGAAAGCACATATCTGTTCCAAGGCACATATGCCGGTCTTGCAGGGTTTGTGAGGTAGACCTGGGGTCGTGATAGCAGGGAGAGGAAGCATTAAAGAACTAGAGGAAGGTTGTGTATTTCGTGGATGCCATGCAGCACCCTGGATGAATCGTCCCTTCCATGTGACCCTTCTGTGAGGGGATGTCCAGTTGTTTACAGGTATGTGGGTCTCCACTCTGACTCCTTTCCTTCACATCAATGTAACTGTTTGTTTTTGAGTTTCTGATACCTGATCTTGTCGACATTTCATGATCACACAGGCTGGTGTGCTTCTTTCATGTGGTCTTTGTTGTCTCCCTGCTAGATGGCCGCTTGGGGTCTTTAAGACCCCAGACGCTGTATCTTTTAATAGCCAGGCACCATCAGCTTCCTTCACCACATTTGCTTATGCACCCATTTTGTTTTCAGTGATTATGGTTGGTAAGTTGAGTATCACACAGTGTCAATTATTAGAACAAAGTGTTCTTGTGTTGAGGGAAGACTTAAGTAGAGGCCCAGAATCCATCTGCTACTTTAATACTTTTAACATAAATATATGTACATAGACCAATATCTCTATCTTCATATATTAATATATTTACATATATATATGTCTATATTTATACTTCTCTATATAGCTTTTACCTCCTAGTTCCACCCCCTGGAACCGTCAGTCTGGTTGGTCTCTCCTCTGGATTGTTTATCCTCCTATCTTATTTAGATAGACATATATATATTAAAGGGGTCTATAAACAGTTCCAGGTCTCTCTACTGACTTTTATGAATGTCCCCCAGTCCAGATGGGTGGGTGCCCAGTGCCGCCCTCCAGGCCAGAAGTCTGTTTACGGTTGTGCTCCCTTCGTTATTCGCCCTGCTGGGACAGGGAATGGCTGATACATTTCCCACACTGTTACCTCACAACTTCTGACAGCAATTACATTAACTGGCTCTGGAATCCTACCCTTAATTATTTCCAATGCTGGAAACTGAAATTTAGTTACTTCATAAGCAATAATCCTCCCCTGCTTCCCAACTCTGATAACCAGTAATACGCTTTGGTTTTATACATTCACGTGTCCTTGTCTTTTTATATATGTTACCCTTGTGAGATGTACTTACTTCACTCGGCGTGTGTTTAATCTCCATATTGTAGCGTCATATGTCAAGACTTCATTTATCTTACTGGCTAAGTAGTATTGCATCGTGCCACATTTTGTTTACCCATTCTTCTGTTGATGGACGTTGAGGTTATTTCTACCTTTCGACTAATGTGCGAGGTGCTGCAGTTTGGATCAGTGTACAAGTATCTGTTGGAGTCTCTGTGTTCACGTGTTTCAGGTATAGACCTGGGAGGGAAACGACTGCGTCATATGGTAGTTCTATTTTTATTTTTGAGGGAGCACCTCCTTTTTCGATTTCTTGTACCATTTGGCCTTCCCATCAGCAGTGAGTAGGGTTCTAGTTTCCCACATCCTTGCCATCACTTATTGTTTTCTAAGTTGTTGTTGTTGTTGCTGCTTTGCTTCCATCCTATTGGGAGTGATGGTTATGTCCTCTCTCTAGTGGCTAATGATATTGAGTAGCCTCTCACCCCCTTTCTGCCTGTCTTCCGGTCCTCTTTGGTGTTTCCTCAATCCCTTTGCCCGTGGGTTATTTGTCCTTGATGTCAAGCTCACAGAGTATATATGTATACGCTATTCGATTCTTCGCAGATATTTTATTTCTGAAAATATTCTCTTCCTGTTGGTAGCTTGTCTTTTCACTTTTTTTGTAAAGTCTTAATGAACAAATTTTTTATTTGTATGAGTTTATGTACTTTGTCTTTTGCTGTGTGTGCTGTTGGTATGCTTGACAATACTTTATTAAAAGCAGGATTGCAATTGCCCTTCTAAGAGTTGTATGGTTCTAGTTTTCACATTCACATCCTTAATCCATGTAGAATTTATTTTAGTGTATATTGTGACACACAGATTTTGTCTCATTTTTCTGCGTATAGAAATCCACTGCCATTTTTGAAGAAATTATCAGCAACCCATTAGGTGTTTGATTTTTGTTTCCTGTTATCCGTTAGTATTAGAAAACTCCCTCCTTCCATTGTGCCAAGACGACAGTCATTGTTTTATTTGTCACTTTGTGCTTAAGACATATGAGTGATAAGTGGCACACTGTTTCATACTGATGATATTTACTGATCCTCAGTACAAAGCTAAGTAAGATACAGTCTCTACCTGCAGGGCTTGTAAAGTGATAAGAAGTAAAACACATCCCAATAGCTATGATGTAAGCAGAGGCCATTCCGTTTTGATAGGGCTCAATGAAAAAAGAGAACATATTTGATTAGAGAAATGAGGAAAACTTTATTTTAAAAGTTAATAGATATTTGAAATAGGTCATTGAAAAGTGAATGGGGCAGGAGGGCTTTCACATGGAAAAGACGGCATGAAACAACAGAATAGAGGTTGAAAATACAATCTTTGGTGAATAGACAGTATAACGGAAGCCTTCATGGAGAAGTGTTAACACCAATGTGAGGAATCTGTACAAAATTAAATAAGAGTTACCACAGGATTTTAATTAGGGAATTGAGTGATATATTCAAAGTCATGTTCTAAGAATATTAATCTGGGGAAAAATAGCAGGTGTATTGGAGAAGGAAGAGATCAAAATCAGAAAGATTAGCTGGACTACTCATGTAATGAGGGTCTAAACCAGGATGCTAATATTGGGAAGTTAACAATCCATCCTTTATTCTTTCACTCAGTGCACATCTATTGAGCATATGGTGTGTCAAGGACTGTTTTAAGCACTAGAGATACAACAGTGAACAAGATATATCTGCCTCCTACCCTGAAGGAGCCTGCACTCTGAAAACATAACTATGACGAATGGATAACAAAACGCACTATATTGTAAAAACATAGGACAGAGGGTCCTAGCTCGGTTTAAATCACTCTAAATCTCTTAACTTGGCAGTCTCTGAGGCTTTGAGGAGCTCCTAATTTATCAGGAGATTCAAAATCTAATGGGAAAGCATGGCAAATATAAAACAGATGATCATACTTAATTTTTTTGAGGCTTTTTGATCATCTAAAACAGAAGCACGCTTGAAACAGCATAATTCAGACCTAATGAGTAGGAGCTGTGGTTAGACTTCAGGAGAGACTGGAAGATGATCGAAAGCCAAGGAAGCTGTATTTTTTATTTTAGATAACAAACTGACTGGAAAAATGTAGCAATTTCTTTTGCAAAGTCATTTCAATATGAAGTCTATTATTTTTTATAATTTATACTTTCCAAAAGATAATTTATTTTATGTGTGTTTCACAATAGTAAATAATGAAAAACAATAGTAAATAATGAAAGGGACTCATTATTAGGAATATCATACTTAAGGTGCTCTGTTTGTTTGTTTTTAAACAGGAACGAGAATGGTCGGTCCAGCATCTTTAAGAAAACTCCTGGGGTCCTGTAAAGACCTGTCCTTGCTCGATGTGTCCTTCTGCTCACAGGTTGATAATAGGGCTGTGTTAGAACTGAATGCTAGCTTTCCAAACGTGTTCATTAAAAAAAGCTTTACTCAGTGATTTAATGTAACTTCTGTAATAAAATGGATGTGCTTTTGTCGGGTTTTATTTGGGGGGTGGTTTTGTTTTTTGCTTTGTATAGTTTTAATGGTTGGACTCAAGACATTTGTAGATTTTAAAGGAAAATATCAAACTGTCTAGGAAATCAAGTAAAATTGTAAACAAATGCTTTAACAATACAGCAAGCATTTTTCCTCAAGAAAATGTAAGTGGCTGATAGTGTTTTTATTGTGTATTAACCAGTGGTATTAAGTTCTAGTGAATGATTACATGTTTAATAAAAAAGTAATATGGAAACATTTTAACTTATTTTTAAAGGAACACTTGAAGCAATAAATTATCGTGATCTTTATGCAAAATAAAATGAAATTGAACCTCTCCATGTAAAAAAATACTGGATGTTCCATTTAGCCTTTTTACCTACCTGGCCAGAAATTTGTTTGATATCTACACAATTGTCAGAACTAGTTGGAGAAGAGACTTGCTTTTTAAACTGATATGGTTGTTGCAAGATATTTATTCTTGTTTTTAAATAGTGTGCAATCATAGAGTACATCGTTAACAATTACGATAAATACATGTGAAACCAAGTAAATTTGTGATAGAAAAAATAAAAAGTACTTTCAACATGTCATAGTATTGATGTCAAATACTTGTTGTCATATAACTTGTAATGTGAAAGAGAACAACCCGAAGAAGGCTGATGCTTCCTCAGTGCACAGGATGATGTTGAGCGTGCTCTTTCTGCACATCATCCACCACCCACCATAAAGAACAAACAGAGACCAAAAAAAGTCTCTGTATTTCTTTATTAAGTTGGTTACTTAAATGGATATTTTAAAATCAAACATTTTTGGTAGAATATACCTTAGTTAGGCTGGTTCACTAGAGAAACAAATCCAGACATTCATATATGTATAAAAAAGAACTTTCTATCAAGAAATCATTATATATGAAAAAAACATTCCAGCCCAGTTCATCCAAAAGAACTATCGCAGTACCCAATCACGACGTAATTTAAAATAACAATTCAACTTGAAAATGTTTCATTTTTTCCCTTCTGTTTCTTTGTTGGGGAAAGCCAATATAAAATGATGAGTGAATGATTGCCAAGGGTCTTGAGCAAGATGACGACTGGCGGCACACCCGGGAGGGACTCCAGAGA